CACTGTGAAAATCACACAGCACAGGAGTTCCTGAGCTACCTTTCATTGGCAGGGTAGCCTGTCTCAACAGAGAGAGTGCAGAGCAGCAATCATCTAAGTCAAATTAGAGTGCACTAGACCAATAGAACCTAGGAACCAGGTGAGTTAATAATGAATATGAAAAAATTGGGGCTCTTTGTAAAAACAATTGTACTTAAAATCTGCTGGTCCAAAAAAAAACCCCACAAAAATATATATGCACTTGGCATAGATCTTTTCCATGCATACCAATTTATTTGTATCTTGTGTTAATTCCAATATTGTTGCTACACATATAAAATTCATTAATAGCACAGTATTCTCTCCACTAACGAGGCTTGGTATACATAAGGGATTTTCAGGGGCTCACAGCTCACAGTTCAGAAATTGCTAAATAGTATTGTCTTTCTGGAAGCTTCTAGCTCTAAAATATTAAGAATCTATATTCATAAAAATAATTTTAGAGTTGGGGGTGTGGCTCAAATGGTAGAGGACCTGACTAGGAAGCACAAGGCCCTGAGTTCAAACTTGAGTAACACCAGAAAAAAAAATTAAAGTCCAAACTTCATTCAGTGTGTAAATTTAAGGAAAGCAGTGAGGTACACAATACACCTTTGAAAGGTCTCTGTTGAAGTTAGTTAGGACAGAGTTTTGGTGTAAGGATCAGATTATTTGCTTTTATGAGTCACTTCTGTCCTTGACAAGTGAAGTATAATATTTAACCCAATCATGACCTGAAGAAGTAATTGGTTCAGTATTCCCCAAACCTTCCTTTATTCACAAATTCTGTTATTTCTCATATTAGAAGGCAAGAAAAGGTAGTTTGATTTAATATTCTCTAAAGAGTACTAAACATCCTGAAAAATCTCTGCCTTAGTCTTATCTCAATAATTAAAAGTCAAGGCAAAGTCAAAGTTGGTCAAAGGAAATGGGAAGAAAAATCTGAATTCCAGGTTTAAAAAGAAAAATACTTAAAAGAACAGAATCCAGAATCAGGCATCATAAATTTTCCCTAAAAAGCTGTTGAAAAGGGTCTCATTAAAGATGGTGGGAAATGAAAAATAAATCATAAGGTAAGACAAGGTCAGAAAAGTTGACTGGGACCAAATGCTATCACCAAAATTAGAAACCCCTCTGTTTTTCTGACATACTATTCAACTGTTGTAGCAAGATTATATTTCAGCTGATTTTTACATATTTCAGCTAGATTTACTCAGTACTTATTGTGTACTTTGAGTCACTTGAATTTATAAACGTTCACAAAACTACAGTGTCCTGATGTACATATGCACAGCTTACGTACATATACATATGGATGTGTACAGACTTGAACTTTCTTGTAGAGATTTCTAAAAATATAAGCAATATTGAATCTGTACTATACACACTACTAAGTTTTAGTTTCTGTGATTCAAGAGCATAAAAGCCACAATTTTGCTTCCCTTGGTAATTTTTAGTATGATTTTTAGTATAATGAATCCATCTTGAAATAGGCTATCCCTCCACTATTATAAAAGTCACAAATGCAGTATAAATTTAGGCCCTCAATTCTGCTGGAACTTGCCAATTTCTGAAATACGTGGAGTTTTTTTTTTTTAAGGCGTACTTAGTTTCTACAACATTTGATTACTCTTGGGCAGCTTAAGTCTGAAGGAGTCGTTAGCCATTGGTTACCACACAACAGTCAACAAACAAGAGTGTTCAGAAGCCTCTGGCAAGAGTCATTCTGGGGCAGCTACCACAAGGCTGAAAGCCTCTCACAAGTCTGTTTTTACTGCTCTTTCCTCTTGACTTGTAGGGGAAAAAAATTTTTTTTTTGCATGAATGTCCCTATCTCCTCGATGTGTCACCCACTTCAGGTGAGTTCTTTTAGTTAAAAACAAAATACAATAATGGGACAGCTATTGGTACTGGCCACCTCATTAATTCCACAACTGTGCGGCCTATTTTCCTTCAGACTCTTTCTGCCCGTGCCATTTATTATTCCCTCTGCCGCTGTAGACCAAAGTACTCCAGAACAAGAGCTGACGCCAAAATTGTCTTCATGGTCACCATTGCCTAAACCTGTGGATTTGTCTTCACCACCAAGTGGCACTGTTGGCAGGCCACCTGTCACCTGCTTCTGTCTCCCTGCCACAGTGAGACAAACCTAGATTGCCTATGAGCCTCAGTTCTTCTCAAAGGAGTTAGTCATTTGCCCAGTACAACTTTCCTTTGATTTAGATGTGACATTCAACCTGACTTTAAATTCCTGACCCTCTCGGCAAATCAGAGACTAAGTGTCGGGCACTGCATTTGATGCTCCTGCAAGTTGACTCCTAAGGAGACATTCCTGAGAGTGTGGCAGATATAGGAATCAAAGAGCTCCCTCATGATATAGAGGAGGTGGAGCCCCTGGCCCTTGATACAGATGAGGCCAAGTTCATGCTCTAACCCTATGACTTCACTTAAGCTCAGGAAAATGTGAAAAAAAGTTGTGTTTGTCTCTATGTGCAAGGCTCTGTAAGCTCATTCAGTTAGGTAAACATCTAGTTCCAATCTCAATAGCCAGAGGAGTCCTAGAATACTGGCAGCGTCCCCAAGGATGCTCTTCAGAGGGGAGGAACATGGATTTTAAGAAATTTTAGGTGGAAAGACGCACCATGTTTCCATCCAATTGTGGAATTCAACTGCTCCATAGGTATTGAATTGTTCTTGACACTCAAACAAGATGAGAACCATCCTAGCAGCAACCCCATGCCAATCCATAAAAAGCCTCTAAGCAGCCTAGGTGCTGAGGGGTCCACCAGCTCTGCACTCTTTGGCAAGGCCTGTTTATGGTTTCATACTCACTCTTATCCCAGCTTGGGAGAGGAACCTCCATTCCACCTGGCTGGCATGATTCAAAGCCCAGAAGATATTCTGAAATGGTTGCAGAGGTACTGGAAAGCAAAGGTGTCTAAGATAGGGCAGCCCTAAACAAGTCTGTTTTGTTTTATATAAAATACTTAGGCATCAAATGGATTTTTCTGGATGTCTGGCTTTTTTTCCTATTGGCTTCTCTCTTCAGTTTTGTTGCTTCTTCCTTTTCATTTTTTTTTTTCTGCTCCCTTTTTTCCCTTGCTAATTCTGCTCCAACCGGGTACCAGTGCATTTTCCAGGGAGCCTTTTTAAATAATTTGTTTCCTAATCTATTCAGTGAAAATGCAACTATTTCATCCTGGAAGGATTGTTTTTAAAAAAAAAATACCCTTTGCATATTTTTAAGGTAGATGATAATTCTTTGCCTTCTTTAAAATTTACTCAGATTAGAAATTTCCCAGGTTATAAGTACTAGACCCAGAAGCTCCCTTTTCTCCTCCCTTTTGTTAATAAAGACATTTCTAGCCCTTCTGATTGTCCCCCTTTCTGGTGACATGAGGCCAGATGAAAACATTGACCACAGACACATGAACTCCATTGCTCTCTGGGCCTGGTCACTGTCCACTAACCATCAGTGGCCTCCCATACCATTCCTGCTCCAGAAACACTTTGGGAACCTTCTTCCTTTTGACTCTGATCTTTGTCTTTTAAGTAAGGGCACAGTAATCTGCTGTTCATTTCCTTATGGTGGGCCGTGCAACCAGAAATGTAACCAGATAAAAATCAAGGCATTTCAACATTAGGCCATCTGGTCTACCAGATGAAAACCAGAAAAAATTAATGTCACCAAAGAATTACTGGTCCACCAGGCATGGTGGCTCATGTCTGTAATCCCAGCTACATGGGAGGCAGAGGTAGGAGGACCTCAGTCCAAGGCCAGCCCCAGGCAAAAGCAAGACTCCATCTGAAAAACAACTAAGGCAAAAAGAGCTGAAGATATGACTCAAGTGGCAGAGTGCTTGCCTAGCAAGTGTGAGACTCTGAGTTCAAAACACCAGGAGCATCAAAAATAAAACAAAATAAAATAGAAGTACTAGCCCAAATTTAGGAGAGCAAATGCCTCTCCCAGAAAAAAGGACAGAGCCTGAGAAAAGGAATTTAATGGCTTCCTTGAAAAATGTTTAAAAATGCATGTGGCTCAATTCCCTGTTAGTACAGCAGCAGTCAAAATAAACTGGACCTGTCAGGAAGTGGTGCTGAGAGAATGTTATGAATAGACTTATTTTGTAAAGTTGTCACTTTCCACACCCAGAGAAACCAACCAAAGGTAGCATTGGCTCCCTCCACATTGATGTTCGTTAAATCTCTCCTTTGATTGCCTTCAATTTAATTTGGCTAGTTTGTTGTTTTTTCCTAGTTTTCTGGAAAAGAACTTAAAAACAGGGCTACCCAGATGTTGCCCATCTGATCATCCTGGTAAAAACCCTTCCCAGCCTACTGAGAGCACCCTGCGGGGTTCTGAATGACAGCCTTGTTACCTGGAAGTGTTTGCAGTATAAAGTTTGGCATGGCCTATGAGGCCAACAGGAAGATTTGGCCTCTTTCACCCAGAGCTGCTGGTGTCCCACACCCTGAGGTGGTGTCAGGGCTGGAGAGAGCTAGTTCCTCCTTTCAGAGGTGACAGTTAGAAGGATTCCTGGCTGAAAAGATTAGTTTACCTTCTTCTTGTTCAACCCTGCAAAGATCCTAAATGGTGACCAGCCTGCCCACCCTTTAAGAGGTCCTCCCTAACAACATGGATAATGTCAGATTTGGTGCTTTAAAAAAAAAATGGCCACTTCGCCAGGTTGTCAACCTGGCCTGGTGTATGGGCCAAATCCTGATTTGTAGAGTTAGAACTAAAACCAGATCCAAACCCACAAATGCTAAAGAAACTCAATCCACTAAGAGGTCCAGACAGTATCCTTTTTAACTGCCCAGAGGGAAGGACCCTCTTAGGCCCACACTCAACCTGCAGTCCCTACAGGTGGAGTTGTAAGACAGTTAGTGGTATCTCTCCGTATGCAAAGGTATTGTGGGTTATTCTGCATCCCAAGTAAAGGGGGGGGAATAACCTATTTCATTTTATGTTTTTTTTCCAGTTCTCTCAGGCCAGGCACACCACAGCCCTTTGAAACGATCTGTGTCCCTTACCCCACCCATGAATGTGCCAAACCAGCCTCTAGGACATGGATGGATGTCTCATGAGGACTTACGAGCTAGAGGACCCCAGTGCCTCCCATCCGATCATGCCCCCCTGTCTCCACAAAGCAGTGTAGCCTCTTCAGGAAGTGGTGGGAGTGAACACTTAGAAGATCAGACCACTGCTCGTAACACATTCCAAGAAGAAGGTAGTGGTATGAAAGGTGAGTGACTATAAGAGGAACCACAGAGTCCCTCTCGTTATTTGGAGTCCAAGGGTAAAGAGAGATAGTCAGCCAGAGACACAGAACCCAGCCCCTCTCCTAGGCTTGTGAATTCAAGCCTTCTGTCCTAGAACTCCAGGACTGGCCTGGCAGAAAAGATTCAGAGTCCCCTTCCAGTACTTCTCAACCAAACTTGGGACCCTCAGACAACTGATCAGTCCTGCCAGAAACTGAGTAGGGTCATCTCTTTATAAAGATGCTAAGCCAGGCTACCCTCTGCCTTACTGTGACCAGGGACCTGTCACTAATTCCAAAAAACAAACCACTGATCTTTTTTGTTTTGTTTTGTTTTCTAAATCTCTGTTACTATAGAATTATAGTAGTTCTTCCTTTCTCTCTCCCCTTTTCTTTGGTATCCAAAAAAACCCTTTAAACCCTTTTCTCTGCAACTGTTTAAGGAACATGAAAACACCACTGAGAATCTCAAACAGTGTTTTAAGCTTGATAATAGATTTGCATATTGGTGATAAAAGCCTTTTGTGCACCTAAATAAAATTTCCAACAAAGCTGGTAAATCTACCCTCTTCTACAGATCCTCATCAGGAGACAGAGATTTCCAAATTACCCATGATAAGTTCAAAGAGGATATGTGTATTATATTTTTAGACTCCGGTTGTTCCAGGGATAGAAGTCCTTAGGGGAAGATGCTCATCAGAGAGATGCTGATAACAATGTTAGGTGGGAAGACAATAACCACACAGGCTTTGAGGATTGCAATACCAAAGGGAGGCCCTAGAGCACCCCGTGTGCTGCCATAAATACATAGTCCTGAGGTTGATGTTTCCCTTGTAAATGATCACTGTTGACATAGGAGGCTCTGGACCTCATCTTCTCATGCACAGGAGCCTGGCAAAGAAAGCACAGCCATATCTGCCCAAGTGCCAGCTGTAAGAAGGCCCCACACTGAAGATGGAGCCCATCAACCGGGGAAGTGGGGCTGACCTTCAGTCTTCCTCTCAACAATTTAGGCCTATCCCCTCTCTGTCCCACCCCATCCCACCCCCCGTCCCATGATGGTTCCTTTTCTGAGTGACCCCAGAGAGTGGGATGTATCTTGACATTTTCCTCCGATGTTACAGATGGGTCTTTAAAGGTGTTTAACAGGCAGCAGAAGTAGTGGGTCATGTTGACACAGATAGTATGTCATCCTTTTTCACGGTGTTCAGGGAACTGTATTATAATTTTAGAAAATTGACAAAACCCACTTCTGAGTTTATGCTTCCTGTTCAAGTAGCCAAGCCCAAGGTGACAGGTAGCAGGCGAGGCTTAGCCTTGATTGTAGTAAGCCTGGCTTGGCATGGAAATACCTGAGGGATGCTTTTTGCCTAGCCCCTTTGCAGGTGAAGTTTAGTGTCTGGATGGCTCTCTTTCTAAGACAGTATATACTGGGGTTCTAACTGGTAACTCTGTGGAAGGATATTGGCCAGTGTTGACTGGCAGGGAGAACTCTGGAAGGCCACTCCTGGGGATCCAAATCCCTCCCAGGAGGAATGCTCACTCCACTGTAAAGTGTTTGGACTTTTCTTCCTTTCATTTTATTTTCTTCCTTTCCTTTTTTTTTTTTCGAGGGTTTATGCATACTTCATACACTCTCCCAAAGTAGATAAAGGTGGGTTCATTGTATGCTGGCATTTTGAAGGAAGAAGTAAATAAAGAGAACATGTTTTTAAAGAAATCTGAGTGAAAGCAAAATTGAATGTCTATCCCTGTTTTTAAGACAAAAGCCCAAAATTTCCAAAGTTCAAAGAATATTCTATATGTTTATTTGATTCATTTCTCTAGCATTGGTGAGAATTGTCTCCTCAGAACTTAATCAGAAAATGACCCAGGCAAGGTCTCATATCTAAGTCTTTCTTTACAGGCCCGTGGGTATTTATCAGAAAACACATTGGTGGCTGGGTGAAACAAAGGACCTTTTCCATGTATTTCCATCTTTGACCCATTGAACTTTCTTTCTCCCAAAGAGTAGGCTCTGGATTAAAAGTCTAAGGTTATTAGCAAGTTAAATGGCAAAAATATTTAAAGGAAGGAACATTACAGAGGATGAAGGATTCCATTAGTAAAATATTTACAGTTTGACTGACAAGTCAGATAGTAGAAATATCCATACCTGAAACCACTAGCATTCCAAAATGTCACAGGGCCAATACTTGTTAAATACAAATGTCCCTCCTCCAGCCCTGCTATGATTTGGCCACTGCTGAGACCTTTTCCACATCAGATTACTTGTCCTAGGAGTGTGTCCAAGAAGCCCTTATAATATTCATCTTGAAGACTTGTCACATGAGCTCCATGTCTAAAAGCAGATTCTAGTTTAAATATCCAAATTATGTCCCATGTTTTGAGCAGTGAGCTATAAAATCAAGTGACATTCATCTAAAAAGAGCCAACTCTTCTCTTGGACCCATGTGCTTTCTTTCTTCATTCCCAGGCCCCTTGGCAGGGGCATGGCCCACCTCAGGGTGCCATCATCAAACCTCTGCTTTTCTAATCTGGAAAGGCTCAGTTTTTCAGAACAAGGAACGTGGAGTAGAATTTGGAAGAATTCTCAAATCTTCAGGTGCAAGTTACCATAATTGAACTTGATTTAGTATAAATTAATCTTTCTGGCCAACAGGTGCATATACCTTGCTGAAATACTATATTCATCCTTTCCTTTTCTTCCTTTTCATCTAAATAGACCAGCTAGATCTGGCTACAGTCACCCCTTAAGAATGTACCTCTTGGGTCAAGAATGTGGAATAAACCTTTTGGCTCTTTTTATTTTTCACATGCATTGATCTAGCTCTTTCTTTGTTGTGGCATGACATTCTCTCCCAAGTAGACCAACTTGTATTCTGAGGATTAATGTCACCTGCCTGCATTGCTGCGTTTTTCCTTTTATAATAAATACCTGTCCTAATGATTTAAGTTGGCCACATTAAATATCCTCTAGGGTAGGTAGGGGACTCAAGCTACAATCTCAAGCTAAAGAAAAAGTGGGATTGACTAGTCAACTTGAAATTAACCCAAGAGAAGTGAAAACCTGAGCTGGAATATAAGTTTCCCTCTTTACGATTCCCTGTGGAGGCTCTTGGTTATGTATGTTTGAACTGACAGTGCTGGTGTGGTTTCTAAATTCAGTTGTCCTTGTTCTTTTCAAAACCTATACTGTGACTTATCCCAGGGGAAAGACTCTTGATTCTGCCTGAATTGGTACTCAATTATAATATCCTTCATTCCCTAGGTAGCAAATGAGTAGAATGTACTTTCTTAGTTCTTCTCTCACACAGAAGCTTCAGGTTATGAGGGAGAGAGAAGACAGTCCATAAATTCCTAGAAAGAAGAGCAGTCGGTCAGTGAAAAAAGCATATTTGTCCTTCATAGCATCCCATCCTCAGAGATGGTATATAAACCCAACACCTAAAGATTTATCATAAAGCCAGGGTGGTTGATGAATGATGTAACTTTGACAAATGGGAGCAAAGGGAAGAGTCACAGGTTCACTTTTGTCCCCATTCAAGTCAGTGGACTTTCCTGAGTGCTTTCTGAGAGAAGCTTTGGACTGGCTAGCTCTGGGGAGAGAGAGGCAAAAGATATTTCTGCTTTAGGGGACACCCCTGTACATGAAGAACAGGTGCCCAATGCAGGTACAGTGCTATGAAAATATGCTGCCTTTGAGACTTGCCCTGGGTCGAAGCAGGCACCAAGAAGGACCCTAATTCAAGAGGAAGGAATGTAAGGAAAGTTCCTAGAGAGGAGAGGCCTGAAGCTGAGTCACAGGGCATGAGTACAAATCAGCAAGCAGAGATGAAGGAATGGCTTTGTGTGCAGAGAGAACCACATCACCAAAGCACGTGAGGAAAGGGCTTAACCAAGGAGAACCTATGGCTAGAGTGTCAGGGACACATGAGAAATAGGCCTACAGAGGGAAAAATCAGATTCCAGGCCTTTCAAAAGATTTTGTCTTCTATCCTAAAACTGATAAAGGAATTTCTATGGCTGAATCCCCTGCTATGTATTAGAAATGGGAGCCTCGCAGCAGCATGGAAGATATATTAAAGCGAGGATGGGACTGGAGATTCTGGATTTGGAGGCCAATGGAGAGGTGGAAGATTTCCTAGTAATAGAGGAGAAAAGGGAAATTGGACCACGGCAAGTGGCAGTAAGAATGAATAGAGGGTGACCATGAAGTAGTGCTGGGATGGCTTGGTAGCTGCCTGGATGTAGACAGCGATGGAGGGGAAAGCACTTAGGACCATGCTTGAATTTCTGCTTGAACATCTGGATAGCCCTTGGGATCATCTACAGCAACAGTCTATGGGAGGAGAAACAGATTTGGGGGACAACTTGGGGCATGGGAAGTGTGGGAACCTGTTAGCATTCCTGTAGAGGTGTGCAACCCCCTCAGTGGTCCCCACAGGGTACCATGCTCCTCCCTGGCCCAGCCCAGCCTCCTCTCTGGCCCCCCCTCGTCACCTGCATGGTTTCAGTATTTTGCATATCTCTGTGCACGTTCATCAGGGGACTCCATTCAATGTACCTGGGTAGGAGAGTCCATAGAGTCAGGCTCCTAGACGTGAGTAGTTGCCTGTGTGAGGGGTAGAGATTTGGCAGTGTGAGCTTTAGCCTCACCATTATGAATTAACAGTAATGGGTATATTTATAATGTGTGCTTCATGTTAGCAGAAAAATATAGAGGTCATTGAATCAGATTTATTCATACATAGGCATGATCAGGCACAAAAGAAACCTTGACTCCCATAAACTTGATAGACACATGGCAGTTGAGAAGGGAGACTGTGGAAATATGTTGTTTCCTTTCCTGAGGAGTCCTTCATAGATGGAACTTGGGTAAACTTTTTCTCTACATAGCAAAGAAAATATATTGTCTACTCTAAAATAGCCAGTTTAGGGTTTGGAGCAATTTTTGAAATGTAAACCTTTGAGCTTGTCTCTCT